AAGATGCTCTACAGTCTCTAGAGCTGACCCCAAACAGCAGAATGTGGCCAGGCCTTACCACTTCTCTAATCAGTTTTGAAGCCCAAGTATCTTGGGCTTGACTGACAAACAGCATCCTCTCCTAGAAGCAGGATGTCAAGAACAGATGCTCCTGGAGCCTAACTAGTCTAGCCACCCTGCTGCGGGGATAGCCCTTCTTCATTGCTAGACAAGGATAGAATCAGAGAATTCTAGGCCTCTTTCTTGCTGGATCTTAGTAGGAGTGGAGCTATAAGGGAGAGTACAGTGGTTTGGCCTCTTTAGACAATGAGATGGGCAGACAAGCCAGCTCCCTTCTAGGTATTAGGGCCAAGTCTCTGCTTCTTGCTCATAGGGACAGGCAGGCTTGGTGGTAGAAAACAAAATAGGCCTTTTGGCTGTCCTGGATTAGGTAAAGGAATTTTCCATAGATTCAGTTAGTTAACTAGAGTTTTGCATTGGGTTTTGGGGGCCAAACCCTAGTAGTAAAATCTTACTTGTTTTATTTTCTTTGCGTATTTTTATCTAAGGACCTTGGAAGAGGAGTGGGTAGTCAAAGGCAGGAATTGGAAATTACTAGATATCTTGGGTCTTCTTGACCAAGCACCATATTTATTACACTTTAACATCCCATACCATGATTACGTTCACCATGTTTAGGATCAGAGAGGCCCTGGCTAGAAAGTCTTCATTCATTCTACTTAAAATCCTACGTTTTAGAAGTTCAATAATATTACCTCCCGAAAATAATGATCGGCAAAATAAAGTCAAAAGATTAGAAGCTAAACTCCTTTGTGTAATATATTAATTCATTTACTGTCATCTTGCCCAAAGTTGGCTGTTTAACGATATGACAGGGTCAGCAGGGACTCGTAGGACCTCATTTCATGGTATACACTTTAAATGAAGTTAATAACGTCCATGTCAGTCGTCTCCAGACCTATCAAGAAGGGCTGAGTCTCTACTCCTCTCCAAAAATTTTTAAGAACCTGCTCCCTTTTTTCTGATCCAGCTTCAGTTGGCTGCCCTCCTCCCTGGCAAGCCTGGGCCCAGTGCGAGTGCCTATTTTACAAGTAATAGTTTTGTTTTTGTTTTGTTTTTCATTTCATTTTAGCACACACATCCTTAGATCAGAAATCATTTTCTTCCTCAGGCATCAAGTGACCAGATCTCATGGTTCAGCTCATGCCAGGGCTGCTTAATTAAGCAAGTTCTTCTGTGAAATCTACATGCTTAGAACACATTATGTACTTTGTACCTTGATAATATTAATTCTTAGTATTCATTTTTCCAACCTTCAGAAAAGAACCTGACCTTCAGGGATTGGTCAAGAATTCTCATTTGAGAATTCAAGAGGTCAGTTAAAATACTTGCACATTTTTACTTTCAGTCAATAGGAAAAAAAAAATGAACAATGGAGCGAATAACTGCTTTCTATCTAAAAACTCACAGGGTGGACACCTAATACCTTCTACCTTTATAGATTGCTGGGCTTCCCTGGTGGCGCAGTGGTTGAGAATCTGCCTGCCAATGCAGGGGACGTGGGTTCGTGCCCCGGTCTGGGAGGATCCCACATGCTGTGGAGCGGCTGGGCCTGTGAGCCATGGCCGCGGAGGCTGTGCGTCCGGAGCAAAAAAAAAAGAAAACTCAATGATATAGATTGCTTATTTACCCAACTGTTATTTCATTGGAAACATTTTGTAAATTGAGTAAATAGGCATTTGGCCTGTAGCAGTCATCAGAATACCTTACTCTGAGCTCTAGATCTTAGTTAAATAACAACTGTCAAACAAATAGCTTTGGGAGAGATGGGGCTCTTAGGATAACTGTTAATAATTTGTCCATAGTTGTGAGCTAGTTTAGTCTGATTAGTTTCTTAACCCCTAGAGGAGATTAACTGAATGGAAATATTTTGAGAGAGGAGTAGAGGAAGAGCTAGTGATTATTCTATGAGGAGCAGAGTTAAGGCTTTGAGCATCTGCATGGTCAAAGAAGGGGAAGTACTAAGAGTAGAAGGGCTACTGGGAAAGGAATGTGAAGCCACAAAGACTATTTTAGAGGGAGCTTCCCTTGGTTCAGCCCAAAATATTGGCTTCAATTAGGTAAAAAATAAATGAAACCTTCCTAACTCTGAAAACCACTATGTATTATGAATGCTGTGGTGACATATTCTATTTTCTCAGAAAGTAGTTCTCAAAGTTTTTCATATTCAGGTACATACTTACTTGGAAATAAGTCTGCAGTATAGCATCTTTAGGATCCGGAGTTGTTTGCAGCCCATCTGAAGGTTCACAAGCATTTGGTCAGTAAGCAGGATACAACCGGAAACATCCAAAATGTACAGGTAATGGCATTTTGCCGATAACATCTCCAATGCTGAGTCAGTAATCTAAACACACAGCCAAAGTAACTCTGATTATTCCAACAAACTCCATCCCAGGGAAGAATAGTGTATTGGTCAGTTTGGGCTGCTATAAAAAAATACCACAGACTAGATGGTTTAAATAGCATACATTTATTTCTCACAGTTCTAGAGGCTGAGGAGTCCAAGATCAAGTTACCCACAGGTTCAGTGTCTGGTGAGGGCCCTCTTCCTGGTTTGCAGATGGCTACCTTCTTGCTGTAGCCTCACATGGCAGAGAGTGAGCTCTAGTTTCTTCCTATTCTTTAAGGACACTAATTCCATCATGGGGGCTCTACCCTTGTGACCTCGGTCTAAACCTAATTAGCCCCCCAAAGCCTCACCTCCTAATACTATCACATCAGGGATGAGGGTTTCAACATACAAATTTTGGAAGGACATAAATACTCAGTCCATAACAAATAGAATCAGAACCATTGCAGATTCTCTTTAACTAGCTTGTCACGTGATGAGCCTATATAACTCAAGTTAGTGATTTAAGTCTGTTTCCAGAACAGTAAGATGTCTGTTTCAAGTGGCACTAATAGAATTTGTGATCTTGCTGTTATTTTCATTTTAGAGTTGTCTGTTTGGGATTGGAAACTTCATCAAAATTTCCCTAGTAATACCTGTCACACCAATATGAGCAGTTTATGAAATGCTGCAGTAATGGGATTTAACTTTAAACTTGAAATCCACTGTAAGGCATCATCAATTTGAGAAACATAAGTTTAATGACATCACATCTTACAAAACTATAAAATATATATATCCACTGAAGTTAACCTGCAGACAGGATCAGATTGCTGTGAGAAGGGATCTGGACATCTCTGATGATTTGTGTATGGAGTAATTGGTTCTGGAAAGGGACAAGTAGGTAAGACAGATGTTTGTAGGCAGCAGGGGAGAGAAGAGTAGAAGCCACAGAGACTGCATGAATCTCACTCTGAGAATTTCTGCTCAGGGTTCCAGTATCTTGAGAGTTTGCCCAGATGTTCTGCAGAGGTAATTCAACTCCACTTCTTGGATTACTTCACTTACTCAAGGTTTAGCTTTTGAATTTATAGCTGAACTGGGACTTGCTGCAAAATCAACTAGATTACTCTTCCCAAAGGAATTTTTTTCCAACTGGATTTAATTTCTTATTTTAAATGTTTGAACATTCTAAAAAACATGCCATGAGGCTAAGCTCTTGTTTTTAACATAAAATTGAGAGAATTATGCTGAAAAACCCTTCAGTTTGAAATGTATACTTTTTATGTTTGGAAAAATAGATGTCATTGTCTAAGCATGCCCTGTTTCCAGAACTTGCTCAGAACCAAGGTTTAATATTGTATCTGATTCTCACAAAAATGCTTCAGACATTTTTGCCATTCTTTGTGGGTCTCTGAAGATCTAATGTCACTGGGGGTGGGGGTTAACCCTCAGAATTGTAGAGAAAAGGAAAGACAATGAGATGATGGAAAAATCCTGGATAGGTAGAGCTCAGAGTGCTAGGTTTTATTGATACCGGGGGAACTGAAAAGGATCCCAACATTTCCTGTAGATCAGAATCCCAAATGTTCAGTGACTGAGGTGATGTTTTGGGGACTTATGGGAGCTGGAAACTGGAGGTGGAGATGACTGGCCATGTTCTTAACTCCCAGATACATGGTCTTGATCTCAGTCCTACTGAGCAGAGATTATGTTATTCTTATTTTAGTGCTGGGTGGGATGAGGTCACAGTACTACTCACTGACCTTGGCGGCGAGCTGGTTGAAGGGACCTTCCAGGAGGTGGACAAGATGGCCATTCAAGATTGACCCATGGGCTTTTGGGAAACCTAGCCTGGAATGATGAGCCAGACACTAATGTGTTTCATGGCTCATCAGAAGCATTGGAACTGAAATATATTAGACAGGACCACAGCCTTATGATTTCTGAGGCTGTGAGGAGTGTTCACATTGGCCCAACTTAAGGTCACTACATCTTCTGAATCAGGATACTCATTTCACCTGCATAGATGGTAAAGCTAAATGCTCCCTTACATTGAGGTTCTGAAATAACTACTCCCCTTCCTTTTTCTCAGCGTAGATCTTCAGTGTAGAGTGATTCATTTTATAATATCTTACTTGTGTGATATCCTCCTTAGCTTCTAGGCTGCAAGACAATATCCACCGCACGATTTATAGAAGGAACTCTCAGTTTTTCCTTACCAAAAAACAAACCAAAGTGAAACGAAACAACAAAAAATTCTCTGCCTCAATTCCTGTTCTCATTGGAGTCTTTCCTTTTCTCATTCTCCTACTTTCCTCCCTTATTAGTGGAGCCTCTTAAAAGCCCAGTCGACATCTGTGCCTGCTTTACAGCCAAGGCAGTTCCCAGTGAGCCATGTGTTACCCATGTGTCCGTGTGCAGTGGAAGCAAGGACCCTGCGAGCCATGACTGCTCAAGCTGCAGAGGGTTCATGGTCAGTGCTGCTAGTGTCCTGAGTTCCTTGACCCAGCTCACTTCTAGAACCAGATGATGTTGACCGGAAAGGCATCTGGTTTCCCTAGTTCTAAACAAGTCACTATTGAACAAAGAGAGTTTTACTGTGAATTTTTCAGATTAATGTCATGATTCACCATGTCTTTCCCACCACTGCCTCCTTTTCCTTATTGTGGCACAGTTAATGATGGAGGAATCAGGAGTTCCTAGCATCACTTTCTTAATCTACTCACCACCCAGACTAAACAACTGAGAAGCTGAATTTTTAGACTAGCTAGAATGAAGGCATCTTGAAATGTCAGGTGATGCTTTGGTAAACAGAAGCCCATCAGTGTGCACAATAGAAGAGGACAAGGTTGTTAATAACCTTGCAATTTCTGAGGATTTTTTTAAAGTTTTTTTAGTTTTCTTCCCTCTGAGTATTTTACTTCCTCTGAGTTTTTCCTGTTAATTTGGTTTGGTCTTTATCTTCCACTTTAGAGGCTTTTCTTTTAAGTCTAGTCTCTTATGTCCTTGATGTCTGCTCATGATTAATAGTGGAGAGCTAAAAGCTGATTGGAAGGTCTGAGTGCATGATATGGGCCTTCTCTACATTAAACTTCAATGGCTTAGATGGCTTATTTGTTGGAAAATCCACATATGTCAGTATTTTTCAATCTTTCATGTTGGGCTAGTCAGAGTCCCCAGAAAAGAGGCTTCCAATCTGCTGCCTGGAGGCAGAGATCTGGCACCCATATTCTGAATGCTCTGTTGGAAAAGTGCTGAATGTCTCTGCGTTCAGCATTTAGTCACTTAATTCCCATTTTCACTTTTGTACCCAAGCTCTCAATTATACATGAGTCTCCCAGGTCAGCAACCTTCTGTTTTATTATCTGGAGAGCAGATAGTAGAGAGATTTCAGTCCCCCCCTCCCAGAGGACATTTAGCAATATCTGGAGACATTTTTTATTGTTATGACTGGAGGTGTGGGGGGCTAGGTGCTACTGACATATAGTGGATAGAGGGCAAGGATGCTGTTAAACATCCTACAGTACACAGAACAGTCCCCCACTACAAAGAATGATCTTGTCCAAAATATCAGTAACGCCAAGGCTGAGAAATCTGGCTGTAGGAAATACATCTCAAATCTGGTGAGAGTGGGGAGGGGCAGTTGCCCAGAGGTATGGAGTAGAGGAGCAGATCTAGAGATCTGTCTACTTCTCAAGAACGTTTAACCCAGTCTTCCTTATTCTAGCCACCGTCTTAAGCTAGTTCCAGAGGTACACAGTATTGCCAAGTTTGAAGATTATGGTGTAAATCCACTTTTTTCCCAGCTTTCTCTATGTTGTCTTAGGATTCAAAGCTATCTCTGGTATGCTAAATTCGTCCATCTACTTTCAAGTTTCCAAAATTTTGTTGCTCTTGTCTCCTCTACTGTTTTCCCTATCAAAGTGGCCCCTCACCCTTCTTCTGCAGTTTTGGTAGGGTTTCAAGAGGGAACAAAATTATGTGTGTATATTCAATCTGCCATATTAATCCAGAGCCAGAGATCTCTATTTCTTGACATGGGGATATATGCATAGTATATTAAGAGAAAAGAAAGTAGGTTACAATGTATTATAGAAAGTATGATTCTGTTCTTTAAAAAACAAGACAAAGCACAAACCTGTAACTATTTATAATCTCTGTACATAGAAAAGAATTCTAGAAGAATAAGTATAAAATGCAACAGTGGTTATGTCCTGGTTGGTGGTATGACTTTGAATTTTTACTTTGTCCTTCACACTTTTATATGTAGTCCAAAGATTTTGCAATGAGTATATATTCCTTTCAAAGAAGATGTCAAGAAAAATTATCCAACACTTGAAAATAAGACAAAAGATGATTGCATATCCTTTCACTGTCTTACCGGAACATTGTTTTAACAGGTCCAACTGAGAAATTCTATAAGGAATTATGCTTTTGTTTGACATACTGTTTAGTACTGATTAGGGCCCAAACTCTGTTATATTTTTGCCCAGGAGAGATGCAAATTATTTCTGTCTGGTAGAAACTATAACTCCAGGGTTATGGATTTATTACCTTGTAGGACATTAACCAATTTTGGATTTAACCTAACAATTATATTCCAACATTCTTTCTTTAGTTCCTATATAAATACCCAGTTTGATCAAATGCTCTATGAATTGACTTTACCATTTTGCTGGTTCTCTCATTGAATTAAATATTTGACACATTTTTATATTTGTATAAGAGTTGTCTTTAACTTCTTGCAGATTCTACTTTGACACAAATGAAATCATAAAGCTATTTCCAATTTGGGGAAAGAAGAGAACTCTAATGAATACCACAGACATGGCAAAGAAAACAAGTTCTCTGGTGAGTCCAACTGCTAATTGCTACCCTGCCTGGGTTCTTTGGCAATACTTCAATCTGATATGTCTAAGCTGACTCCTGCACATACCTTTGGACAGCCAGCAATGCTGAGAGATGTGAGATTAATACAATAAATGGCCAGTGCTTTAATAATCTCATCTGACAGCTGGGGGCAGTAAGAGACATCCATGTTCCAAGATCAGTGAGCCTTTGCAGAATGCCTGCAAGAAATTCCAAAGTTAAAGGTTTTTTTTCTTTTTCTTAGTCTTTATTCAAATGTTGTGTACATCTATAGCCATCTTACCCATAGCAATTTACCTAATATGCATTTCAGTTTCTGAAATATAGATGTGTTACATTTTGTTGCAAACAAAAGCCATTATGTCCAGAATTTCTTTATAACAAAAGATACTCACACATCAGTTAACAGTTCAGTAATAATCAAATTCCTGCTAACAGAATTTGGTTTTCCTGAGGTTAGCGCAAATGGAATTTTACCCATGTGGTTAGTAATTATTAGAGTTATATTCAGTCCAATGAGTGGAGGAAAAGAAATCTGGAGATGAGAATTGGAAAGCAAACACTCTGGGGTTGACAGTATAATATAATGGAAAAAGCACAGTCTTTGGAACCAGGCTGACCTGAGTTTTAATTTCATTCTACCACCTTATTAGCTTTGAAACCTTAGCAAGTCACTCAATCTTTCTGAACCTCAGTGTCCTCTTCTTCAAATTAGGGAAAATATCTACCCTCCAGCATTGTTCTGAAATGCCAAAATGTTCATCTGAAATTTTTAGGGCTAGAAAAGGTCTGGAAATCATGGAAATTCTTCCCTTTATCTCAGGAGTTCTTAATTTTCATTCCTACTTTTCAGTAAAAACAAAAAACAAACAAAAAACCTGAGTGATAAGAAGAATCCATGAGGAAATAATGGTCAAATTTTATAGTTCAGCAGTTATACAAGAACAAAATGACCTGCAGAAGTAAACTAACAGTAACTGTAAAAATATCTTAAGTCGGGCTTCCCTGGTGGCGCAGTTGTTGAGAGTCCGCCTGCCGATGCAGGGGACATGGGTTTGTGCCCCAGTCTGGGAAGATCCCAGATGCCGCGGAGCGGCTGGGCCTGTGAGCCATGGCCACTGAGCCTGCGCGTCTGGAGCCTGCGCTCCACAATGGGAGAGGCCACAGCAGTGAGAGGCCCACGTACCGCAAAAAAAAAAAAGAAAGAAACAAAAATATCTTAAGATGAGTAGAAATTGGAAACCATGACCAATTCAAGATAACCTTAATACTAGTAAGAAAAGTCCATCCCTCAAATTACAAGAATTACAACTATCAACGTGTGCTGAGTCACTCTAAAGGTTTAGCCTCATTGTGAAGCAGCTCAAATTCTTAGAGTACTAAATTAGAGACTTCGGTATATGATAGTTTACCATTTTTAGTTACAAGTGTTAAATTTTAGTAATCCTAGGGGATTAAGGCATTCCTTATTTATATGTAAAAATGGATGTCTATCAGACATTTTCCTCTCAGACCTGAGGGAAGGACCTGGGCTGTTGGATCAGTAATGGCCATTAGGATGACTCCAGAGGTAAAACTACCAGTGGGCTTCCCTCTCATTGAGTATGCCAATTTCCCCTTATTTTAGCCCTAAGGAAGACTGGAAAGAACTAGTCAGCCACCTGTTTTCTTTAATAAGTTAATAGAAGAGGGAAAGTTTCCTGGAGGGGCAGTTTAGCACGGTAGATAAGACTAGGACAGTGGCATCAGATATAGTGGGTTTAGAAGCCTTGCTCTGCCACTATGGGTTACTGAAACTCGCTGAGCCACAACGTCTCTTCGGGTAAAATGCAAATGATAACACCCATATCAAAGTTTAGTTGTGCAGATTATATGAAATAATATATGTACCTGATATAGTTCCTAGAACAAAGTAGATTCTCTAGCTAGCTATAAAATTGTATATACAGTGTTACTTGAGAGACAGTATAACATGCTTGGCATGTAGTAAGCACTCAGTAAATGTTAACTGTTATGGGGATTTGCATATGATAACAGTAATAATAAAGATGCACATTTGTATTGTACTTTGGAGAAAACTAAAAGATATTGGTTATTTTACCCTAAATCATCTTTTTCTGACCACAGCAACCAACAGTGATTCCTCTTTCCTTTGACCTCATACAGAACTTGTCTTTTTCAGCTGATTCAGCACTTACAGTACTTCACTCATTCCTGTTTTGTGGCTAAATTTATATGGAGATTTGTTTCCTCTAGCAACTAAGTGATGTCAAAAATTGGAAGCAGCAGTTTTTCAGGAAACATTGAGGTCCCTGTCATTGGAGATAATCAAGCATAGAGGGCACAACTAGTGTGGTGCAGAGGGAAATCTAGCTTTAAAGGATTGGAACTGGTAGTCTTGAAGCTCAGCTCAGATTCAACAAGTTTTTCAATTAGAATGCAATAAGTCTCTCAGAGGTACTGTCTGGAACCCTGCTAGCTTTTTATACCCCTTTCACAAGCATCATATTTAGAATACAGTAAGTTCTCAATAAATACTAGCTGCTTGCTCAACCCTTTATGGGTATCTTCAAGGATATAAAGAATTGTTTTAAGAATACAGGAATTCTTATGTTGCAAGGGGTAGGATAACATTGTTTTCTGCTTACAGAATGGTTAGAGTTCAAGGAACCAGAGAAAATGTAAAGCAAGAAGGAATATTTTAAACAATAAGAATAGTTTATTGAAAGATGAAACAAGCTTCAAAGGGAGATTCAAGGCTCTTGGTGTGTGCAAACCCTTTTCAGTAGCATCTGTCAATATCTTGGACTGCTTGAATCACTTCTGCTTTAAGCCTTTTTTTAAAGCTCTGATATTCTTTGAAGTTAAACTTTCTCAGAGGTTTTAAATTAAGAATAACTTATAAAAATTATTACAAGGTCTATGATACATTCATGGTAGCATTCTCACTCATGGAAAATCTGAGGCACAAAGATGAGTCCAAGGCATTATGCTTGGCATAAATCAGTGCAGATCTGAGAAATAAGTCAGAACTTTTCCTCTTTTATAATTCATATTTTCCTTTAGAGACATGTAAGTTGTATTAAGTACTTAAGTCTGCAGGCATTTTTCAACATAATCATTCATGAAATTCCATTTCCCCCCTACTGATAAGATTATTATATGCTCTTCTGGCTACAGTGTTACAAAATCACACATATATCAATGCTGTTGATTTTCTTTTCTCAGAAAATGTTAGACTGAGATTCTTAAGCTTTTATAGTGAAAATGGAGAGAAAATTAAAAATTACCGATTTTGACTTCCATCCCATGTATCAACCAATTTTGCTGTGGGTTAACAATCTTGAAGACAACTTCCAAATCGCTTAGTGAGTTAAATAATTTCTTCTCTGTATCTTATGAGCTGAGTCACAGTATGGGGGCTTAATGACTGCATTCCTAAGTTGGGTATGTAGAAGAGACTGATTTTCACTAACATTTACTGACTGTCACAGTAATGTGCTTCTGCCAAAATCCTGATTTAAACCACCTCGACAGGTGGCAGCTCCCAGTCTCAAAAAAGCTCACCTCATGGTGCATACTCATAACACCATCTCTTGACTATTTGCCTCATTACATTCTGATTAATCCTGCTACCAACTTCTGTTTGGGGGTGGGGTGGGGTTTCCTATTGATAATTACAGAAAAATCTTGTGCTACCAAGAACTATTTTCTATAATGAAGACTATTTTGTGCTGCTTCAAAGGCTGAAATACAACTTTCACAATTCTAAGTTATAAACTGAGTTCATAACTACAGTATCTCAAATATCCTTTCTGACCACAACATTATGAAACTAGATATCAATTACAGGAAAAAAAACTGTAAAAAATATAAACATATGGAGGCTAAACAATACACTACTAAATAACCACGAGAACACTGAAGAAATCAAAGAGGAAATCAAAAAATACCTAGAAACCAATGACAATGAAAACACGACGACCCAAAACCTATGGGATGCAGCAAAAGAAGTTCTAAGAAGGAAGTTTATAGCAATACAATCCTACCTCAAGAAACAAGAAACAGGGCTTCCCTGGTGACGTAGTGGTTGAGAGTCCGCCTGCCGATGCAGGGAACACGGGTTCGTACCCCAGTCCGGGAAGATCCCACATGCCGCGGAGTGGCTGGGCGCGTGAGCCATGGCCGCTGAGCCTATGCGTCCGGAGCCTGTGCTCTGCAACGGGAGAGGCCACAGTAGTGAGAGGCCCGTGTACCGAGGGAAAAAAAAAAAACAAGAAACATCTCATGTAAATAACCAAACCTTACACCTAAAGCAATTAGAGAAGGAAGAACCAAAAAACCCCAGAGTTAGCAGATGGAAAGAAATCATAAAGATTAGATCAACAATAAATGAAAAAGAAATGAAGGAAACAATAGCAAAGATCAATAAACCAAAAGCTGGTTCTTTGAGAAGATAAACAAAATTTATAAACCATTAGCCAGACTCATCAAGATTTTTCTTGGGTCTTGGAGAAGACTCAAATCAATAGAATTAGAAATGAAAAAGGAGAAGTAACAACTGACACTGCAGAAATACAAAGAATCATGAGAGATTACTACAAACAACTATAGGCCAATAAAATGGACAACCTGGAAGAAATGGACAAATTCTTAGAAAAGCACAACCTTCTGAGACTAAACCAGGAAGAAATAGAAAATATAAACAGACCAATCACAAGCACTGAAATTGAAACTGTGATTAAAAATCTTCCAACAAACAAAAGCCCAGGGCCAGATGGCTTCACAGGTGAATTCTATCAAACATTTAGAGAAGAGCTAATACCTGTCCTTCTCAAACTCTTCCAAAATATAGGAGAGGGAGGAACACTCGCAAACTCATTCTATGAGGCCACCATCACCCTGATACCAAAACCAGACAAAGATGTCACAAAGAGAGAAAACTACAGACCAATATCACTGATGAACGTAGATGCAAAAAT